TTTTTTTTTTTTTTTTTTTTTTTTTTTAATTGCCCATAAAATGTATATTCACAAAGTGCTCATCGCGCAAAAAGGAATATACTGGCATATCCCTCTCGGAGGAACGTCCGGGTATGAATCCACATGTAAGAATATTCCCACGCGTCGTCAATCTTACACTATGTTGTGTAGATGGTAGAATGAAGCCTCCTCCGCTCCTCCCCCTTGTGTGTGTGTGCAGGTGTAGCAGTCACGATAGGAGGGAGCAAATGGAGTTGCTGGAAACATAAAAAAATGAAAAATAAACGAATTCACACATAGACGTACGGTTCATATGTACATACGCGTGTGTGTATCGCGAATTGGTAAGCACAAATGTCGACGGGGGGTTAATCGCCTGGGCTTTGAGTGGTGATTGAAGAAAGAACTTACTTTCAGAGCTACTCTCTCGCAAGAGCGGAGTAGGTCCGCAGAGCAAACACGCACACACGTAAACACATACATATACATGGAATATGCTCACAGAGAGATTTTCCCAAAGGTTCCACTCTTTGTGTGCTACGCGCGAGAAACCTCTGCAACGAATGCGTTACAAAACGAAGTGGGGGAGGGAAATGTAAAAAAAAAAAAAAAAGAAAAAAGAAAAATTGTCATAGGAAAAGCAAAACACATAGGTGTGCAAGCATACTATTCACACTTTAGGGAACACATGATTGGGAAGGGTAACCCCTGTATGTACACCTCCCTAGGGGTGGATGTTCGCATATGCTGACCCGTGCAGATAGCTACTAACTGAGTCATGCATACGAAATGGAATATGTACACATTCGCACAGCAAAATACTGATGATACGAAATAACACACTTTTCGCGAGTCTACAAATGGTTGCCCCCCTTCCCTTACTCGCGTCGTATCGGTCACGGCTCCTTCACTCTCTCCTTCTCGCTTTCCTTTTCACCTTGCTTTTCACTGTGAATAGTGTCACTTGTTTAAGCTGCGCCCAACACGTGCTGGCACAACATCCCGCGGTGGTAACCGGCACGTTCGTCCTCGCAAAAGGCGATAAACACACGACTCAGCAGTTGGTTCAGCAGCTGGTTCAGAAGCTTGCTCGACGAATTCTCTCCGCCAACTGGACCAACTCCTATAACATAGGCTGGGACAAATGCTTCTTTAATTCTGTGCATCCTACTTCGTGTATCCCGTGCGTTATGTAGATTGCGTGCTTATTCTCTCCAAATTGGAAAACAAAAAAAAAAAAAAGAACATACATACATGCATACGTACCTGTGTGCATGCATAAAACCCTTTTTGCGCACTCCGCGTTGCAGATGGGTGCGTAGGTATAAACTGTGTGGAGCGGTGTATGCACAGGTTCGCTTGTTCTCACGCATATTTATTTTAA